ACTAACACCAGTTCTAGCTGCTGGTGCGTATTTTCATGAAAGATGCAACAGCTGCTTTAAAACTTTAAGTAGTTGGCCAGTGCTTTGAGCAAACACAGCCTCTGGTGTTTCTCAAGTTCATGAGGAAGGGAGGCAGCAGGTAGAGTGGTGGGGTCTCTTCTGATTTCAGACTTTTGCTTCTTTCATGCTGTTCCTGAATTGTCTTCCAGGCTTTTCTACACTTATGACCAAAGCTGCAAAGATAGATTTGTGGATTTGCCATATGAAGAACCTCCTATTGCTGATTCTGAGTAGGAGACTTAACTCCTTTTAGGCTAACAGTCCCCGTGTCCCCCCCCCCCGCCTTTAAGCCCAACTTTGTCTTGAAATTTCAGATACAACATTTAATCCAGTAAATATAGGACGGGTCAGGCATGGTGGCACAATTTGATTCCAGCACGTTGGAGGCAGACGCAGGCAGATCTCTGAGTTCAAGGTTAGCCTGGTCTACAGAGTGAGTTCCAGATCAGTCAGGGCTATATGTAGAGACCTTGTCTCAAAAAACCAAAAACCCAAACAAAGCAAAAACCAAGAAAACAAAACTGACCATTACTTATGTCGTTATGGGAAAAGAGCGAGAGGGTGCTGTAAGGTTCTTAGTGATGTTTCTCTATGCTAGGAAGTCCCTGTGCCATAAAAGCATGGCACTGGGGGTGCAGGAAGACACTACAGGGGAGGGGAGGGGAGCTAGGGAGAGGTGTAGGGTATGGGGGAGGGCGTGGTGGGGGTGGACCAATTAGAACCAAGGGTTTGGAGGTGCTGTGAGGAAGCCCACTGCTTTCTGTGCTGACTCAATTTAATTTTAAGAGGTTAGTGCCTCTTTAGCCACAGACGGTCTGAACCCAGCTCTCCAGGGTGTCCCCGTGCTCCTAGCTTGGAAGCACACCCTTTTGGTGAGTGTCCCTGGCTCCTCTGCTTTGTCCCTCTTGTCCCCCAGTGCTCCCTGTCAGGTCGCACTCGAGGCTTCCTTGAGGGTAAGGGAACTGACCTCAGGTGTGGATGACTGAACACCTGTGATATTCAGGCCTCCAAGAGGCTAAAGGAAATGGCCGCTCTCTCTTACTGGTTTGTGCTATCTGGCTCTTTCCTGGCCGGTGAGCCAGGTCTCAGGGTCTTGGGAAGAGGGTGCGGTTTAAATGTCCACAAAGCTTTTGATGTTAAGGTTCTTTGGAAACTTGACAGTGATAATAAAAGCATCGTGTTGTTGAGGATTCCTTTTCTACGGGCAGCCTCATCTTAATTTTTAACATTAGTGTTAAAGAAAAATAAGTCCCCGAAGGCAAAGGACTAAATGTGCACACACCTTAGTGTATCAGCTGTCTGTCACCTACTTGAGACATTGATGATAAGTCTGACTACCAGATTTCAGGACACTCACATTGTGGGTAGCCCGGCGTGGAATACAGGAGCTGACTTGGGGAATTGGAAGCTTGTCAAGGTTCAGGAAAGACGGTGGGTTCGGGAGTTTGCCATCAAAAGACCTGCAGTCCAGTTAGGTGGGCAAAAGTCACCGCAGGTGGTGAAGATAACAGGAGGCACAGCATTCAGGAGAACCTACTAGAAAGAAGAAGATATGTTCCAGAAACTGGATCAGCTGCAGATCCTGGGCCATCGTGAATGCTTTTAAATATGATTTCTGATGTCCATTGGTCAGTACACACACACACACACACACACACACACACACACACACTTTGCATGTCTTGTGTGAGTTGGTGGCTGCTGCCAGCATCCTCGTTCCCTTTTTGAGCAGCTAAGTCCCATTCCCGAATGGACCTGCCTTTCATTTGTGTTCCTGTGGGCGCCTAGTGCGTAGAGTGACAGAGTAGCCACCACAGAAAGAACTTGTGTCATTGCTCGGGGCGGCAGTCTTGTTTGTTGTACCCTCTGTACTGAGACTTGAGATTTGTGTGACAAATAGTCCTTTATACACTTGCGGCGTCAGTCACGCAAAGCTGCACCCTCAATCTGTGCCTTGGGAAGCTTTAAAGATCTGGCCCTGTCATCTTCGATGCTCTCAGGCTGAGTTTTCTCTTTTGTGAATTACCTGAAAAGTTACTAAGAAGAGATGAATCATAGCCTTTTGTCTTATTTTTCTGTGTCATTTCGAAAGTGAAAACAGCAGCCAAACGTTAACTGTTTTAATTGTAACTTGACCCTTATGGGTAGAGAGCAGAGCGTCCCCAGGCTGAAGTTCAGGAAGCTGGAAGTGCTTATTCATCCCTCGTCAGCTGGAGGCAATGAGTCAGCAGTTTGCTAAGGTCGCTCAGCACACCTTCGCTCGAATGGAGGCAATGGTGTCTGTCCAAGACTACAGAACTGCTCAAGTGTAGTGAGTCTGAGTTTGCGTTTAGTAAACTAACAGCTACAGATGAGAGCGGCTGGAGTGCGGTAGTTTGCTTTTAGGTTTGAGAAGTGTTAGATAGTGCCTGGTGGGTGTTGATGGGAACCATGCCTGGTCATTCCGTAGTTAAAGTGTTGGGTAAAAAGCATTACTGACCGCTGAGTTCAGAACACTCAGGAGGACAGAGGTCGAGGTGTCTTTGTTGCTGCAAGTCGCTGTCACGATGGTGTTTACAGCTGGCAGCCTTTACTCCTCAGCCATTTGTTTGTAGCTCCCAGAGGGTTGAGCTGGGATCCAGTTGGCCTTTTGTGATTCTGGAAAATCCACCTAAGTTCTTCATTCTGTGGCCCTGATGAGTGCATCTCCACTCACGGATGGAGTCTTTGGAAGATGTACACGATCTGTGTTTGGATAGTATTAAAAATGTCAAGTCCTTCAGCAGCAAGTCCCTATAGGCAGGTAAAGTACTGTCCTGTGTACTAGGATTGTGGCAGAGCATGGTTGTGACATTTAGACTGAGACCTAACATGGGAAGAGTCAGCTGCCTGGAGTTATCAGGCACAGGGAGAGTGAAGGCTCTGGGGTAGAGTGTTGTGTGGCAGGTGTTGTATATGTGTACCTGGCTGAGGAAAGTGTGAGTAGTGGATCCCAGATTCCCATGGGAGCAGTGCAATCCTACTGTGAGATGCACTTGGCCTACCAATAGGGAACCTGGCCCTCATAGTGGGTCCTCATGTTTATTTCAGTTTCTGATGCTAGCCACCCTCAGCTGTGGTTGATAGCACTTGGGATTGGTGTCCTACCGGTGTGAATATTCATATCCTACCCAAGGGATGTGAACCTGTGATGTAATCTGTTACTGAAAAATGCCCATCCAGGGGCACGGGTGCTAAACCAGCTGTGATTCTCTCTGGGGTCTGAAGTAAGCTGTGGCCCACTGTGCCTGGGAGAAGCAATGGGCCACCAGGCCTTCAGGTTATGGTGTGCCGTTTGTCTTACCAAGGAGAAGAGAAGCCGTAAGTGAGGTGAGACACGGGCGTGTATAGAACTTTGGTGGGCAGTGTCGAGTTCCTGACATCGCACCCTGATGGCTGCATCGGTCTCTTACACTTCACCTGGCTGTGTGGAGTTCACTAGAACGATAGTGGTAAGGGTAAGACTGACCCTCCTTTGCAGGTTTATCCTGGGGGGCTGGAAAGCGTGAGAGCCATCGTGGGGCAGGGAGTAGCTGTGTGTTTGCCTTGGTTGGCAGGCCAGTGTGGACAGCCATCTTGACGGAGGACTCCTGACCCCTGAACTCCCACCAGTAGGAGATAACAGCATTTTGGAAAGCTAATTTCTCCTGTTCCCAGCAGTTCTTAGTGATCCCTTTCGTTGATAACTGAATCATGAAGACCCATTTTGAGAAGAATCAGACTGCTCCTTCTGTAAGAGTACAAGCCCAAAGTCCATTCACCTTCACGTTTAATGTTGAAGTCGTCAATGATGTGCGTGGTGTGCTGGGTCAGCTAAAGGAAGACTGGATCCTTATCCTGAGGAGGCAGAGTTTAAACACATACCGAAGGGCTGTGCTTTCATGTTTTACCTGTGTAAAAGCGCACACAGATCGGAAGGGAATTTATGGATTGATTCTTGTGTGTTTGCAACTAAAACACCAGGCCGTTGAGGTGGAGCCCATCTGTGATCTGAGTGAACTTGAGTAGTTCTGATTTCTCCTTTCCTGGGGTGGGTCAAATCTGAGAGCACGACAGTGTCTCCTTCACTGACCCTCGGGGGATAGACAGTGAAGCAGAAATGAATCATGCAGATGGGCTTATGGGGCTTCATCTGTGGGGCGCACACTACTGGGGATGCTCAACACAGGCCGTGGGGGGGGGGAAAGCAGGAAAATGGCATCCCTCAGACTCTGCAGTTACAGTTCTCGTGTGTCTCTGGGTGTATTTATCAGAAGTCCTGGCGGAAATGAAAAGCATACATCATGCATTTGGGGTACCTCCTTTCTTTTGAGTTCCAGTATTGTGCACATGCTCAAAAAAAGTTTGGAAACGACTTTATGTCCAAATGATGATAACTTTCTTACACTGTAACATTTTGAGGAAGCCAAAGCTTTCTGCTCATGGTAAACCCTGTTCTCTGCCCCTCCCAGAATGCAGCATGTGGAAAGTGAGTTCTAAGATGTGTCCTGACACATGGGGAATGCCTTTGCCTGTCTCTCCTCATTGCAGGTGAACAGGACTGGAGAATGGTGGGATGTCCCATCCCAGTGAGTGACCTTCCCACCTTGGCCACACCATGAACTGTCTTCAGGTAGAGGGAGGTACTTGGACTGAAGGCTTTAGCCAGACTTTGGCTCCTATCAGACCTGTTCTCAGCGTGAACTTACTTTCAGGCACCCAGAAGTCCTGAGCTCAGGCAGTTGTTACTTTCTAAGATTTTACCTTAACATTAGAATCACTCTGTCAGCCTACTTTACTTGTGGGCTGTGCCTCTGGAGTTGTCTGTCTCCATGTTTGTGCTAGTGACAAGTACATATTTTAATTCATGCTGACAGTTTGCTGTTTAAGATACATTTCCCCCCAAGGATCTGTTAAGTGACATCTCCGCTGTGTGTTTGCAGGTCGGTGACAGTTAGAAGCATGCTTCCCAGTGCTCTCCCTGACCCCGTTTGCCACCCAGGATGTCTGTGAGTGAGAGCGCAGTGTTTGCCTATGAGTCTTCCGTGCACAGCACCAACGTCTTGCTCAGCCTCAATGACCAGCGGAAGAAGGATGTGCTGTGCGATGTCACTGTCGTGGTGGAGGGCCAGCGCTTCCGAGCCCACCGCTCGGTGCTGGCTGCATGCAGCAGCTACTTCCACTCGAGAATCGTAGGCCAGACGGATGCCGAGCTCACCATCACACTGCCTGAAGAGGTGAGGGGCCGCAGCGCCGGCAATCACAACCTGTTGTTACCTAGCTACCTTCTGGTTATGGGCTGAAAACAAACTCTGGTCTCCCCGAGGAGATGGGCATCTTGAGGAGCATTTCTGTAGCAACCCTTTGGTTCTGTTACAGGGATATTTGCATGTGAAAGTCTCACTTTGGATGCTAATACTCATTGAGCAGTGGAATATGTTGATACAACACCTGCATCTTAGTCCACCTGATGGATTATAGGCATTTGGAAGGGTTCTGGCTTAGAGAGAGCTGCCTGTGTGACGGTCCCTCTGAGGGACAGCCGTGACAGTTCAGGGTGTGTCCACTCTCTGTCTCATAAGACATCCCCCATGAGAAGTGGGCACTCTATGAGTGTGGTTCTCCCTGATTTCTTTCTTCTGAGACTGTCTTTGGGAGGAAAGATGTCTCGGCCAGCGCAATGGATGACTCAGCAGGTAAAGGCGTCTGCCGCCAAGTTTGTTGACCTGAGTTCAGTTCCCCGAACTCACATAGTGGAGGGCGAGACCCAATCCTGCAAGTTGTCCTCTGACCTCCACATGTGTGCTGGGCACACACAAATGCAAAATAGTTTGTTATCTTGTTTTACACACACCTTTCCATTCCCAGTCTGTGCAACTTAAGCTTGTAAATACGAGGATCTTTGTCACTGTCCTAGCCTCAAGGGGCTTGTGTGGCTGGTTGCACTGATTCTTTCTGGTTCTATATATTGGACTGTGTGCTTTGGCAGTCACTGTTCTTAACATATTTTGACCTTGGACACAGAGTTTTGAGGAGAAGAGGAGGAAGTGTGTGGATTTCTCGTGTGTGACACACTGTGTGGGCATAATTGGATAAGGCACAAGCTCACTCGCAGAGGCGCTCCTGGCTGGCACCGCGTCTCGTGCGTGGCTGTGACTGTAGTGTTGGGGGTGAGTCAAGGGTTCCCTACCGTTGATTTTACAGAAGAACATTAATCACAGTGTTGCCTTGCTTTCTACACTTCCTACTTCAGACTGTTTAATGAGACTTTACAGGTAGAACACAGCTTGTTTAATGGGTTTTTAAGAGAAGATGTATAAGTTGGATGTTTTATGTTTATTCTGACAAAAGATAAATCACAAGTTTTCAAATAGTGAACTGTTTCATCACAGTGACAAGTTGAAAACATTGCATATATTATTTGGTTGTTTTAGCACATTTTGGGAAGTTTTAATTGACATTTTCATTCCGATTATTATAAATTGGGTACAGCTGTAAGGAGTAATACTCTTTTCTCTGTGTTCCATCGGTAACATTTTGAAAAAGTAATACTGTCCCAACAGGAATGTCGATGGGGACACAGTCCGTTCCTGGTGACCCGATGGCTGTAGTGTTACCTGTATTCCTTAGGCTGTATAGGTTCTGAGGGTTTCTGTATTCACAGCTGGTTAGATCTGGAACACCAAGGGTCCTGGTGCTGCTTATGCTAATTCCTTCCCATGCTTGGGCCCCATACTCCCTTCCCCCCTTCTGTCTCTCGATGCTGGCAGCCACTTATCCTCCTTTGGTGAAGTTTGTCATTTCCAAAGGGCCATACAAGTGGGACAGTGCAGTTATGAGCCCTTTCTGGGCTGCCCTTTTCGCACTGAGTGTCAGTTCCTTGATATTATTCAGATTTCATGTACCAGCAGTCTATTCTGTGCTGCTGATGAATACTGCAGTAGTTATGTCTTAATTTTCTTTCTCAAAACCTTTTCATCCATCGAAGGAATTGAGATTAGGTTCAGTTTTTATGTTTGTATAGGTGTTTTTTTTGTGTGTGTAGGAAAGTAAGTTCATTAATTAGGGATTAAAAAAACAGAAGTGTAATTTCTGGTCATAAGGTAGTTTTGCACATTTCATTTTTTTAAGAAACTACTAGTGGCTTTTTCAGGTGGGTGTCCATCTGATGTCCCTGCCGGGGTTGGAAGTGACCCAGTTTCATTGTTCTTGAATTTGGTGGTGCTTCTTTTAGCGGTTTCAAGCTAAATGCTGTAAGGTCAGCATGTTTTAGTAGAGTCTTCGTATTTTGGTCAGTCTGATAGTGACTCAAAGTTTTAAGTGTAATTTGTATTTTTAAACCCAGGTGAACTTTCTGTTCCAATTTTCTGGCGTTCCCCCCCAACCTTGTAAATACAATCTCAGTGTGAACATACAGGTGTCTGCTCAGTCTGCTGAGGTATTATTAGAAATGTCATTTTTAAAGATTTGTTTTTTAGTTTTGTGCGCGCGTGTGTGTATGTATGTGAGACATACTGTGTGTGTGTACGTGTGTGCCATGAGGGCAGGTGCCAGCAGAGGCATCTGACCCCAGCGCCAGCGCTGCAGGCAGCTGTGAGCACTGAGAGCCAGGCCCAGGCCTATGCAAGAGCAGCCAGTGCCCATGATCTCTGACCTCTCTCCAGCCAGTACTTTGGCTTATTGTGCATTTTGGATAGTTAAGAAATTTTTATAAATACTTTTCATTTTAAAAGTTCCAATCTGTAGCTTATTACAGGTCACATTGTTTGGCCTTTCGGAGCTGTGCCTGCTTCAGACACCTGGCAAAGCCATTGCCATTTTCTTCTAGCAGGGCTGTGGGTGGATCCGCCCTGCTTTATTCCAAAGGTGACTTATTTCCACATGGGGAAATGTCTTAATGAGTAAACCGTGTTGACATGGTATTCCTGAAGTGGAGGGCTAGTCCTGCGAATAGGGTGGGACAATGCTATACCAGTCTCCTTTTCTAACAAAACAAAGTGTCAACGCTCACAGATACGTGTGCACCCCCGATGCTCTTCCCCCGTTGTCATGCTGGACAGCTGTCGAACCTGCTGGTCAGCTGTTAAGTGACATGCTTATTTTTATCTCGTGTATCAACAGGTGACAGTTAAGGGATTTGAACCTTTAATTCAGTTTGCCTACACTGCCAAACTCATTTTAAGTAAAGACAATGTTGACGAAGTTTGCAAGTGTGTGGAGTTTCTAATCGTGCACAATATCGAGGAATCCTGCTTTCAGTTTCTCAAGTTTAAGTTTTTGGACTCCACTGCAGAGCAGCAAGAATGTGCCAGAAAAAAATGCCTCTCCTCACACTGTCAGAAAGCAGACTTTAAAATTTCACTCTCCGACCAGAAAGAGCTAGAAATCGATGACGCAGAGGAGTTCTTGGAAAAGAAACACGTCCAGACTCCTCAGTGTGACCCCCAGAGGTGTCAGCGCGACGTGAAAGCTTCACCCTCTCTCCAAGACAGCGCCAGTCAGACGTGCCAGTCCATGTGCTTGGAAAGGGATGGCGCCCTGGCGTTGCCATCTTTATGCCCCAAATACAGAAAATTCCAGAAAGCGTTTGGAACTGACAAGATCCGCACCCTAGAATCCGGCCTCAAAGATGTCCCTGCTGCTTTTGTCCAACCCATCGAGACATCTGACCTGGAGTGTCTAGGGGGCGCGCAGGGCTGTGCCGACCTACAGGTGGTTTTAAAATGTGAAGACGCGAAGCCAGCCATGGAGAGCGAGGAGGCAAAGCGCAGAGACCCCGCTTCTCGGTGCCCGGCCGCGCAGACCCCAGTGGCTCCTTTCGCTCACAATTCCGCCGACGCCCACGGGCTCTATTCCCTGCCAGTCTTACACACATACGACCAGTCTGGTGACCCGGGCTTTGCTGGGGTGCAGAGCAAAACGGTGAAAACAGAAAAGTCTCTGCCAGGTGCGGATGCCCAGGGAGAGAAGCCGTTCGGTGAGAGTCCAGATTTATACCTGAAATCTGACCCGGGCCCCAAAGAAGACAGCAACAGCCTCGCATCCAGCGACCGGAGTAGCGTGGAGAGGGAGGTGGCAGAGCACTTGGCCAAGGGCTTCTGGAGTGACATTTGCAGCACGGACTCTGCCTGCCAGATGCAGTTGTCACCCGCTGCGGCCAGAGAGGGCTCAGAACAGGCCCACTCGCAGAGGCGCTCCGAGTGCCCCTGGCTGGGTATCAGGATCAGCGAGAGCCCGGAGCCCGGCCAGCGGACTTTCACAACCCTCAGCTCCGTCAACTGCCCTTTCATCAGCACTCTGAGTTCCGAAGGCTGCTCGGGCAACCTGGAAATCGGAAGCTACGACTACGTGACAGAGCCTCCGCAGGAGCCTTGTCCCTACGCTTGCGTGATTAGCCTGGGTGACGACTCCGAGACGGACACAGAAGGGGACAGTGAGTCCTGTTCGGCCAGGGAGCAGGAGTGTGAGGTGAGTGGGGTGCGCTCTCACTGCTCAGACAGCCGTTCATTAAGAGGCACCCTTGGTGCCTGGCGCAGGGGAGGGGGGAGGAGGGAGGAGACCGCGTGGCAGGCGCCAATTCGGGATGTGTGGAGTCTGGAAACCTGCCGTGTGCGAGCAGAACATTGGTAAACATTGGTGTGTGTAGAGATGAGGGAGGAGACCCCCACACGGGCCGACGAGCTTTTGTAATCAGATGTCCCCATAGGGAGAAACAACAGCGGTTCTGTCACTGGTGGTTGGTTAATGGTAACTTTTGGACGATAGCATCATGTAGTCTGTAGTGTTCCCAGCCCCCGACTGTCAAACCCGAGAACAGTGTGTGGTAGGTGAGCCATGGCTGGCTGTGAGGAGCTGCAAGCTTGTGACATGTAGGGAATGTTTTCTTTGACCTGACTCTTCAGAGCTATTGCCTTCATTTACTTATTTATTTTTCTTTAGTCATTTTAGGCATTAGTTTGATGGATATCCTAATAACTCATCTTGAGTTACATGTAGCTACTGACTATCACTAGAAGTTAGGTTTCTTTTGTTTGCAAAGGTCAGTGCTCTCTTTACAGTGGCAGTTTTCACTCTGCTTTTATAAGTAATTTTCAGTCACACTCCTTACCTTTTTCTGCATGCTGCATTTGCTTTTTAAGTTTGTGATGGCAGGAGGCCTGTCCTTGGAAGGGTTCCTAAGTGCACAGTACAGTGTTAGCTCTAGTCTTTGTATTAACATAGCGTATCTCTGTAACTTGTTTTTGAAATGAAAAGTCACTGAACACCTGTGTCCTATGCGCCTCCTCCCAGGGCGTGGCTTCACCATCCTAATGGCGCATGTGGTTGCCTGTTAGCAGTTACTGCCCGTAGAAGGCGAGATAATGTGGAGTTTGCTCTTGGAAATTTGGTTTGTTTTACTTAGTGTGATGTTTCACAGACAGCAGGCTGAGTCATGTGTCGCAGTGTACACGTGTGCCACATTTTCTTTATCCGCTCTCTGTGTGTCGACGCTGAGGCGGTCTCCCTGTCTTGGCTGCTGTGAGTGCTGCAGTGAACGTGTGAAGAGAAACATCACGCGAGCCGACTTCAGTTCATTTGCACAGATACCCGGGAGTAGGAGGGGCAGCTTCACGGCATGCACACATTGTTCACGTTCGTGAGAGCTTGACGCTGGTTTTCATAGTAGCTGACTGATTCCCGCCAGCCAGGCACGAAGGACCCATTTCTCCAAGTCCCTCTCTTCGTCTTTCTCTTTGTAGTGGTTAGAGGGTGTTAATCTGAAGAGGCTGCCCTTTCCTGGCTCTGGGAGGAGATGAATTGTAAGGCCACGGGGTTCAGTCACAAGCCACCAGAACAGACGGATGGATGAGAAAATAGTCTAGGGGAAATATTCCTAATTTGTCTTAACAGGCTCTCCATTGGCAAGTGAGATGCATATAGCTACGTTTTTGACAGAGAAGACACTCTTTGGAGTGCTATAGAAATGACTGGTGTAATTATTCCAACTCTGGGCAGTGCCAATGTTGTGTGGTAATATTCAAAGATATAATGGATTTTATTTGGGGTCATGAGGAGTACATACTAAAGAAGTTTTAACAGGGTAGATACTAACGTGGAGTAGTCAGGTAAATTCTGGCTTGAGTGCCTTACCTTGGAATGGGTATGTCAGCTCAAGTGTTTGACCCCAGAACTCTCTCCCAGGCCAGGTGTTGTCAGTTAACTGTTAGTTCTTCCTGGGGTGGATCATGCAGAAATTGGACTTTTTTTTAGTTAGGTGCAGATGTGTGCAGATGTGTGCAGATGTGTGCTGGTCCCACAGAGGGCAGACGGTGGGATCCCTCTGGAGCTGGAGTCGGAGGCATCAGTGAGCTGCCTGACATGGGGGCAGGGGTGGTCAGTAAGCACTCTGAACTCTCTCCGACCCCAAGGTGTGTGGTTCTTTGCACCACGGTAAACTCTGGAAACTGTGTGCGCATGTGATGAGCGTCTTCATCTGTAGCTAATATGCATTGCATGTCCTGGTTGTAGTGGTAGCCATCGTTCCTAATGCTTATTTCTCATCCTAGGTAAAACTGCCATTCAATGCTCAACGAATAATCTCGCTCTCAAGGAATGATTTCCAATCCCTGCTGAAGATGCACAAACTGACCCCAGAGCAGCTGGACTGTATCCATGACATCCGCAGAAGGAGCAAGAACAGAATTGCTGCGCAGCGCTGTCGCAAGAGGAAACTTGACTGTATTCAGAACCTTGAGTCAGAAATCGAGAAGCTGGTAAGTGGGTGGATTTCTCGACTTTATTAAACCCCAGCTCTTTCATTTTATAGAATAGTTATTTAAATTCTAAGGAAGGTCCAATGTACATGTAGCGTTGTAAGAGAAATTAAGCTGGCAGAAAGATTAGAAGATATAAAACAAGGTTTCCATTGATTATTTTAATTGTATATGTGATTTACATTTTTAGCATGATATACTAAACTGTGTAGGTGGGGAACCATTTCTGGGCAGTTTTTTTTAATGATTTTTTTCAATTTAATGACTCGCGTATCTAATCCTTGGTGGTTGACTAAAGATTAAGGTAATTATATGGTACTTTATGATGTTTGATGTCTATAAAAACTTGTTTTCCACTTGGGTAGAACTGTGGACCTGAATTACCTGTTTGGGTTGATACCAAAACCAAGCAGATGAACCAGTGTCTCTGCCAAGGGAAAAACTCAGATGTGAAGTTGGGGTTGGAATAGAAGCCTCTGAGATGCAGCAAGGCCCTCAGTGTGAGGAGGGCTTACTTAGTGGACCTATCTCTTTCGGCATCAAAACAAATGAATTGGAAGATAGATTAATTTGCTCCCATTTCTGTTTTCCTCTTGTGGTGGTGGAAAGAAGTGTTGTGTGGAGGGAGCTTTGGTACCAGGCCAGCTGAGGGCTTCATGCGGGCCAGGCACCAGGGCAGCAGCCTCCAGACACTGGAAGGGGCCCTCAGATACTCCGTTTTGTGTCTTTGCTGATTATGGGTGAAAGCATAAAGCTGTGTTTGTAACTGGTCTTCAAGCATGAACGTTGAGGCTGTGAGTGAGACTAGAGACAGTATAAACAGTATAAAGGAACAGATGTCTTTGTGGTTTTAAGAGTAGTTGAAATGTAACATTTTATTATGTATACACTGTGCACTACTTTATGGAAAGGGAACGGTATAAGTAAAAAGGTGAAGGAGAAATCTGATGGGAACGCAGAGTGCCTAGCACCACAGAACAGATTCACACAGCGCACCTTTATGCACCCGTAAGCTTCCGTCTTTCCCGCTTTAGTGCTCTGCTGCCTTGGGTGGGTGAGCTTACAGCGTCCTGCCCCTTGTGAGTTACTGTAGTAGATGCTTTTCACACGGCCGGGCTGCGTGGGACTCCTTGAAGCTGGTGTAGGATTGTGCTGTAGTGCTCAATGCTGCCTCTACATTACTTTCTGTGGGTCTCTCTCCCCAGCTGCTCATAGTTTACGTCATTTACCCTGTCTTCTCACTTTGCTAAAAATAAACAGGCTGAAGAAGACTGACTTTACTTTATGCACATTGCCTGGGCTCAAAGGTCTCCTATCTGGGGACTGGTGCAGAAGCTGGCTTGCTGGATGATGGGGAGGGTAGGAGATGCAGCCTAAAGTGTGGGTGTGGATGGGATAGTGTTACTTAGCATTTTAGAATTTACGCTGCTCGCTTGTGAAGAGCAGATGGATTAATGTGTCAGTTACTCCCAGCAGGTACCTGCTGCAGAGTTAGCACTCAGTAAATATTAGTATTTCTTGTTACGGCCATATCATCATGTACTTACAGTCAGTTTTCTCAGCCTCTGTTGGCTTCCTTCCTGGTGTCTTCTCCTAGCTACCGTCTTAGTTCTCTCTCTGTGGCCGTGATAGACACCACAGCCACAAGCAAGTCTTGGGGAGGAAAGGGTTTATTTGGCTTATGCTCCCACTCTTAGTCTCTTATCCCGAGAAGTCAGGGCAGGAGCTCAAGGTGGGAACCTGGAAGCAGGAGCCCAGGCAGAGGAGAGCATGCAGGACTGTGGCTTACTGACTTGCTCTCCATGACTTTGCTCAGTTACCTGCCCAGGGGTGGCACCGCCCGCAGTAGGCGGGGCTCTTCCACATCAATCATTAATCAAGGAAACGCCTCACAGGCTCGCCTATGAGCCAGTCTGTCAGAAGTGTTTTCTCAGGTGAGGTCCCTTCATCTAGGATGACCTAGCTTGTGTCAAATTGGCAAAAACCGAGCAGCACAGCTGTGAACTCTGGTAGGCTCTCCTCCACTCCCTTCCTCTCAGCCTAGGAGGCCCCTTTCATCTGGTTAACAGGAAGACCCTTGCTTTCAGTGTTGGGCTGGTAGGTCCTCAGGCCTCTTTGTGAACTCAGAAACCAAAATGGCTAGTTTCCAGTTTAACTGGTATATTGACTTGGATTCTGGCTACAAAAACCAGGAACTGTCTGCAGAGTGGATGGAATGATCTGCTGGGGTGGAGGTCAGAGAAAGGAGCCAGGTGAACAGCGTGGGACCAGAAACTGGGACGCCTCCAGGAGCCCAGGATGGGTTGCTCCCAGCTCCTAAGGGATTCATGAGAACAAGTAACATTTATAGTCAGCTCTAAATGCCCCAGGAGGAGCAAGGAAGGCTGGCCTCGTGATGCTTAGTGTCCCTGTGAATGACTAGAGAGCAGAGACTGTACCAGAGAGCAGAGAAGCCTGCCCTTCAGAGCAGACCAAGAGGGCTGGTGGGGCCTGCTGTACCCGCAGCTCGGGTCTGTCACTGGCCTCTTTCCAGTGCCACCTGGAGAGTCGTGTTGGTTGTGTGTGGTGGGGCTGGGTTATGGGTGTCTACCCCCCCCCCAGTGCTTACCACTGTGTACAATTTGTACAAACCCCAGTTGCAGAGGCAAGGCACACTGCAAATGTCTGTCCTGCCTCTGATGCCCTTCCCAGACAAAAAGATGGGCAGAAAATGTGCTTATTAGCAAATAAGAGTCAGGAAACTGCAGAAGGGAAGGAAAAAAACTGGGATGTTTAACGTACAGATGCATGGTATATGGTGGCATCATGTCATTGCTCCACCGAATCTGACTCCTGAGGCGGGGGCGGGGCACTGCAGGAGAAAGGATGGAGGTCCCGTCGTCTGTAGACCACAGCAGGTCCCTTCCTCACTCCGACTCCCAGGTGAGCAAGCTGTCCCAGTGAGGAAGGGGCTTCATGCCAAGCCAGACAGCCAAGCCCGACAGCTCGACTTTAATCCCTGGGACCCATGTGGTGGTCAGGAGAAGTCTCACAAACTGCCCTCAGACCACCACACGTAAATAAATGTAATAATAAAAGTCTCCCACCCCGGAAGGCTTCCCTAACAGAGACGAGTGTTCTTCATCACCCCTTTAGATATAATGGAGATCATAAACACAACAAGCACCTCTTTCTGCAAGGCTAGCCTTCCCAGCAGAGCCTCAGGCAGGGCCTCAGGAGGGAGCTGTCACAGAAGGGGCAGGCCCATGTGCGTCACACCCCTGAAGACCCTGCAGGGCGGCAAAGTGTGGAGGTGTCATTAGGAACACTGGTGCTGGTCCTGTGCAGACTGGGCCAGTGTGTGTGTGTGTCTTAGTTTTAATGAAACACTTTAAGAAGTAAAGAAAAATAAAGGAAGGTTAAGGACATAGAGAAAATAGTATATATAGCTGCACAGTATTTGTACTCATTTTAGGTACAAGCCTGAAACTCTCTGCCATCACCATTTAATTTTATTTTTCTGTATTGTAAGCTAAGCTTTTTCCCGAAGTTTCTGGGGATTTGACCTCATGTCCTTATTCTTGGCAAAGATTCTTGACTCACTGAGCCGTCTCCCCACGCTCTTCTTAGATATTCTTTTTTTAAAAAAATTTAGAAACAAGCTTGTTTTACATGTCAATCCCAGTTCCCTCTCCCTCCCCTCTTCCCCTGCCCTCCACTGACCCTCTATCCCATCCCCTTTCTACTCCCCAGGGAGAGTGAGGCCTTCCTTGGGGGATCTTCAAAGTCTGTGATATAATTTGGAATAGGGCCTAGGCCCTCACCGTGTATACAGGCTGAGAGAGTATCCCTCTATGTGGAGTGGGCTCCCAAAGTCCATTATCCACTAGGGATAAATGCTGTTCCATTACCAGGGGCCCCATAAATCACCCAGGCTTCCAAACTGACACCCACGTTCAGGGGGTCTGGATCAGTCCTATGCTGGTTTCCCAGCTATCAGTCTGGGGTCCATGATCTCCCCCTGGTTCAGGTCAGCTGATTCTGTGGGTTTCTCCAGCCTGGTCTTGACCCCTTTGCTCAACATTCCTCCCTCTCTGCAACTGGATTCCAGAGTTCAGCTCAGTGTTTAGCTGTGGGTGTCAGCTACTGGATGAAGGCTCTAGGATGGTATATAAGGTAGTCATCAATCTCATTGTCAGGGAAGGGCATTTAAGGTAGCTTCTCCACTATTGCTTAGATTGTTAGTTGGGGTCATCCTTGTAGATCTCTGGACATTTCCCTAATGCCAGATTTAACTTTAAACCTATAATGGCTCCCTCTATTAAGGTGTCTCTTTTATTGCTCTCCTCTCTTCTTCCCCTGACTCATTCATCCTGCTCCCCCATGTCCTCCTCTCCCCTCCTCTTCTCCCCTTCTCTTTCTCCTAACTCCCTCTCCCCCTCCCCATGCTCCCAATTTGCTCAGAAGATCTTGTCCCTTTCCCCTTCTCCTGGGGACCATGTATGTCTCTCTTGGGGTCCTCCTTATTTCCTAGCTTCTCTTAGATATTCGTAATGAACGGAGTCAGCTCTTATTTAGTGGGGTAGGAGGAGTGTGAACATGGAGGGATCATATAGATAGGTATTTACATGAAGATGCAGACATTACATATTATTTGTGATGTCCGTCCCATCTCTAAGCAATGGTCACTGTTAGCGTTGACCTTTCCTAATGTGAAAGGCCAGCACCACTTGGCATTTGTCTATTGCTGCTCAGAACTGATAGAAGAACCAAGAACCAGGTGAAGAGGGTTCTCATGCTGTTCTGGAGGCTTTGCTTTTATTTCCATTAAGAGAGCTTCCGAGAGGTCCTAAGCAGAGAGGTCCAAATGGTATTAAATGTGCTTTTCTCAGGAGTGGAAGTCAGTGCTGGTCTTGTCCCCCTGCACTGCAGGCGGATTTTATTTGAAGCCTTTAACTGGCAGATTCTGTGTAAGAGGACCTGGCTGAATTCACCTAGCTCACATACAAGCATGCTCATGCTCATTCTTGACCTGCTCTTCTTTTTATTTTGAGACAAACCTAGAAACCTGAGCAAATTAGAGAATTACTTTGCAATATAAAAATTTATATTGTTTTTATAACAAAGAAATTCCTATACTCTTATATACTCATAAATTATTACGCTCTTAATTATATACTCTTAATATTTTCCAAAAAAACCACTAATTGAATTCTCACATGGCTTTGTAAAAATGCTTTTTTTGAAGTTGTAATAATGGTCCATATGCATCTAGCAAAGCCGTCACTACCTTTTAAACTGTTTGTGCCCGAAGGGACATAGACTATGACAGTTAGAAATTATCCCTGCCAAATACCTCACTCAGTGTTCTCCAGAATCTTGGGCTCTCCAGAACCTGTCAGCGAGCAGAGAGGAGATAGATAGGTGACCCCTGGTCCCCTCAGACACTAGTCACTTAGTTTTCACAGGTGAAGCCTTAGGCCTTCTGCTGACTTTACAGGGGGCTGGATTGCTCGGTTGCCTGGCTCCTAATGGATTAGGAGTGAATGGTGGAGTGTGAGAGGAGGTGGGATATGGGTAGAGGGGGGTGTGCTGTTTCCTGGGGGGGGTTGTGCCTGACGTGGGCAGGAGGGACAGAGCCAGGGAATCTCGGAACAGTTTTGTGGTGGACTTTCCTGTAGGGATTTAAAAAAAAAAATCACACTACCGGAAGCAATAAACTCGGGTTAACCCCTTCACTCCTTACACTGTAGAAACTCACTTCCCAACCATCCTATCTTTGGATGTGCTGTAGTCTCCCTCCTGTTGGCAAAGTCAGGGTATGGATTATATAGCTGAGACTGCATATTTAAGAACGTTGACCATGAGTGGGGTGGGAAGAAGGCCGGGGGGCGGGGGGGGGGGGGACTGGAGGGAGAAGGAACTGGGATTGATTTGTAAAATAAGATTGTTTACAACAAACAAAAAAACCCAAAACATTGACCATGGTCTTGGGCTCATAGTCTGGTCTTAGGAAATGAGGCATTAGCTGAATCTTAGAGTTGTATCTGCACGGCATCAAGTCCACATTTCCCACAGTTCAAACTCTCAGAACAGTGATTTGTCTTAGAGTCTGGACTAGAGCCCAACTAAATTTGATAACCAGCTGCAAGTAGTTTCTCCCTTCTTTCTGCCGTATTTGATATTCCAGTGTTTTACTTAAAAGCGTAAAGATGTTTAATGATGGATGCGAGCTCCTCACACACTGACACTGTGCACGTCTACATTGTCTTTCTGAAATGTGAAAAGTTATGAATTCCATCGCAGGTCTGTCTCTGGGAGTTTTGGACGAAGGATCATGAGGTTTTGGTATTGTGTGTGTGTGTGTGTGTGTGTGTGTGTGTGTGTGTGTGTGTGTGTGTGGATGTGGGGTGTGTGTGTGTGCGTGCGTGCGTGCGTGTGTGTGTGTCTGTGTGTGTGTGTCTGTGTGTGTGAGTGTGCGTGCGTGTGTGTGTGTGTGTGTGTGTGTGTTCAATTTTAAGTTTTATGTATTCCTGGTACATGGCGTGAGGATTCTGTCAGACACTGTACACTTTCCCCTCCCTCTCTACCCCCCATCTCATTTAGTCTCTGTTTCTCTAGACTTGTTTCGTTTCTGCTTTCGTATCATGTGTGATTTTTATGTGTCTTATCTAAAAAGCTAGGACCTACATATGAGAGAGAACATTTGTGTTTCGAACACTGGCTTAATTCACTTACTGTGAACTCCAGCTGCATGTATTTTCCTGAGAATCACATAACTTCACTTTTCTCTGTGGCGGAGAAAACTCCATTGCGTACTTAACGCCACATCATCCCTTCCTTGTGGTTGGTCCCTTGCTTAGTCCTGTGCCTTAGCTGTTGTGAACAGCGCTGTGGTACACACGGGAGTGTGGTGACTTGAGGTGGATGTGTGTTTGAGTTGACTGAAGGAGAAGATGGTGTAGATGCTTGACTGCCGTAGAAATGTCGGTGGACCCAATAAACACGACCCATTGTGTTCTCTCTCCCCTCTGCACAGCAAAGTGAAAAGGAGAGCCTGCTGAAGGAGCGAGATCACATTTTGTCAACGCTGGGTGAAACGAAGCAGAACCTCACCGGGCTTTGCCAGCAAGTGTGCAAGGAAGCCGCCCTGAGTCAGGAGCAGATTCAGATCCTCGCCAAGTACTCGGCCTCCGACTGCCCGCTTTCTTTCTTAGTTTCTGAGAAAGGAAAAAGTACTCCTGGTGGCGACCTTGCCTTTCCTTCAGTCTTCAGGGTGTCTGAGGCGCCTCCAGCGGCACCACCTCCCTGTGGGCCAGGGAGCAGCAAGGCAGGCCAGGAGCCAGTGCAAGTGTCCCAGACGAGGGTGCCAACCTCCGCAGCCACCCTGGAGCAGGCCGCGCTGCTGGAACCCTGTCGGCAGAGTGGCGGGATCTCAGACTTCTGTCAGCAGATGACTGACAAGTGTACTACTGACGAGTAAACCGCACGAGCGCCCTTCAGCCGTGATTTCCTCCTGGAGCTTTGGCATTGTCCCAAGAGCCGCATGTGGCCCTGTCTACGTGTTCAGTGGCCCTGTCTCCCCCTGGTAGCTTTCTGTTGAGGGAATTCCTCTTTTAAGAACCCTGAGTTCTCCTTGGTTTTCACAGGAGAAATGGCATGATTTACCTCTTGGATGCTGAAAAATCACATGTGAAAATATAGGGTGATAATATCCCAGTATTCAAAATAACTACGGCAGTGGAAAGTGTAGTGTAGTCCCTTTCAGCAGCTCGAGGCATCTGCACACGGTCCTCCTGGCCTGTGGAAGCTTGATAATCTATCTTTTGGCATTATACTGATGAAAAAGAGAAGTTCTCCCCAAGCAGTGTGGTGGTGATCTACCCAGAAGGGGGGCATCAGCACTGGGGGTGTTTGTGTAGAACTGCCATGTGGAAAAGAAATCATCTTTGAACTCTAACGTTCCACTCCTCGGCTCCTACCAAAGCCCATCGTGGCGGGACCCGGTGACCCCGAGGCTACCCTGGCAGGACAAAGTGAAGGCTGCACAAACAGTAGAAATGCCATTTCCCCGCTCTCCCTTCGTTTCCCAGTGCAGTTTCTGCCATGTCTAGGCCAGTTAGGAACTTTCTGTTCCCTTCTTGTCCCTTGGAGGAAGAAATGGGAGTCAGGCCGAATGGCCTGAGTGTGCACAAGCTGGCCAGAGCCATCGCTGCCTCAGATGTGGAGAGCTTCACCCTGCGAGAGGCTTGCTCGTCTCGTCACAGGTCACCAATGCCCAAGAGGGCATTGGGATCGGGTGCGGGCAATGTCCACATTGACCACGAGCGCAGCTCACTGGCACCCTAGTGAAGAGTGTGCTCTGTAAAAAGCCTGGTTGGAGCACCCACGGCTCCTCAGCTCTGCTGACATTAGAAACCATGAAATTCGGTCTCAGTCCAGTATGGGTTTGCACTTGAGAAGCAGGTTGAATCCTGTAGTCCCCCTCCCCCCTTTGGTATGGTGTGAAGGCACACACATCGCTTTGACTTGGACATTGAGACGTCAGCCTTGTGCTTATTTAATGTTGGTAGAAAATGAATTTATAATAATTCATCTGAGCGTCTACCCCATAAGATTTTTGCAGTGATTCTTAACCTGTTCTGGAATCTCGCACTGCAGACCTCTGCAGTATATGTGGGTTCAGTGTCCCTACTGAAGGAATGTGAAACGCCTTAAAGCTGGCAGCGCTCTGGTGCAGCTGATACAGATGTGGGATGTCCCAATCCTGATCTCCTGAGGCAGGTCACAGTCAAAGCAGGGTCTTCAACATCTTCTGAGAGCTTTAAGCTCTGCGTGTAAGGTACATAGGAACGTCACCGAGACTTGGGGGGAGGGTCTCATTGTCAAGCTGTCTCACAGCTGTCTGTAGAAGTGGATATTTGAAGTGTGAAGCACCTCTGCCCACCCCCATAAGGGAGTCTCTCAGGATACTCCCAGAAGCACTTGTAGAGTCCTGTTTAAAGGAACGAGGGACAGTCCATAGGACGTCGTCTCTGCAAGTCAGAAATCTGAAAGACACACTCATCTCGACTGCCTGCCACATCTAGTGGAGAGAGGTGGGGGAGGGGGAGAGAGGGCAGGCACACCAGAGAGCCACCCTGAGTGGGCGTCAAGTCAGTAGCAAGCTGATGTTTGCTGTGAGAAGGTGTGGGAGCCAGAATCAGTCTTTCATAATTTCATAGTAAGTTGTCAGATGATGCCCTTTTTCCTTGGGGTGCAGGGAGGGAGGAAGGATGGTGTGTATTTTATCTTTGGAAGAGAAAAATAAATTGGAATTATTTCCTAGAAACTTGGAAAACTCCACTCAGTTCATCTGGGAGAGAATGCTCACTGTGACTTCGTGTCCCATGTTACAAAAGAGCTGTGTATATATGTACATGTCCCCACGCAGCTATTTGATACTTGTAATTTTAGATTTCAGCTTAACAGAAGACAATATGAAAACTTCTGGTTTACAAAGTGTAAAATCTTATACAAGCCAATGGAACCCTCTATCTCCTACCTCACTGTACACTCGGCTGTCTGTCATCAGTTTTGTGTACATAACGTCAAATTTTTTGCTTTAAATGTAACTGTAAATATTTGCTTTTGGAAAGTTACTTACCATTTTATGATAAAATGCAGTTCTCTCCTCAATTTTAAGATTTTTTAAGACACTTGGCTTAGTCTCCCTGCCTATGAACAGCTTAGCATTAAGAGTTAATTTTTATGCTGTTTGGTAATTGGCCAAGTGTAGTATTTCTTAAGATTTAGCATTACTTTTAACAGCCAGCATATAATACAAGTAACTACACTACCTCATACCTATGTGATTTTCAAGTTGTATTAGATGGACAGGAAAGATTTTACCTATGTCTTTTGGCCATAAGGTGGGTTAGTTTTCTGTATATTGCATAGCATTACACGTTTATGCCTATTTTAACTTTTTTTCTAAGAAAGTTTGTTTCAAGGCAATATTTTTTGGGGGGGAATGCCGAAGACAAGTGATAGGATCATATGTGCACAACGTATGCCTTTTCCTTCATGCAGAGTTTTGACAATGTTTCTAGTTTGTGTTTTGCATATTCACACAATCATGGCTCCTTGTTGTATGATCTGGCCTTCTCAATGCCTGGTGATTTTTTTAAGTTGTCATATCTGACTCAATACAATAATGTCATCTTAAATTTTTGCCCCTTATTTGAATACTATAGCTACAAGCAAATACTTCGTTAAATTGTTATATTTGGAATAAATATGGGTATAGCATTGGTTGTCCATCTGCAAGCTCTGTAACAATTTACTGTAGCTTGATGCCTAGCCAGTTTTAAGTTAGGAATTCAACACTTGTGATACAGGGGATGGTGGAGGTGGTGTGAGGACACTCAGCCACATTGACAACTTGGAAAAAAGAGAGGCGAACAGCGATGTTACAGTGAATTCTCAGGTGACCCTTCCAGTTACAAAAACATCTATTTTGAATTTGTAAATATTTTAACTGTTTTGTTAGGCATGTACTAAGCTATTCTTCGACACCTGTTGGGTAGAATGAAAATTTAAAGCCATAATGGTAAAAGATGGCATACTGATTGTAAAATAAGCAAGTAATAATATTGATGTTTTGTATCTTTCATAATGTAATTTTTCTAACTGCAATAAAACCACTGAACTTCTATATCCATGTCCTATTAAGCCCATGTTTCATTAGAAGTACACTTTATAATATTTAATTTACATTTGCTTCCTAATATGCTTGTCTAAATGTGTTGAAATATAAGTGTTAGACGCTGACAGTAGACTGACAGTGGAATAAAGTTCCTAACCCTGCTTTTAATGGACGAGAGTTGTACCTTCAATGCCTCACTGCTCATGCGCACTCACCAATATTAATCCTTTGGTTAGTTACCAGAAGTCAAAGGATGTGTTGGGAGAGGAGAATTTCGATGAGTCGGCTGCCTCACGTCTGAAAAGACTCCCAGTGCTCGGTAATGAAAGACACACAGATCTTAGTCTTGTGTTTCGCTTAATTTCAGTCTGTGAGTTAGGGCCATGGAAAGGGTCTGAAGAGATTTAGGGCCATGGAAAGGGTCTGAGGAGATTGGCTTGCTGGTAAAGTGCTTGCCATAGACCTGAGTTCAGTTCCCAGAACCCATATAAAAAATGCCAAGCGTGGCCACGGGGGCTTGAACCGTGGCTGCCTAACGGTGACAGCATCAAGAGACTAGGGATCTGCCCTAGTTTAGCAGATCCCTAGGGCTCTCAGACCCGCCAGCCTGGCCTACGTGGTGAGAGAGACTGGTATCTTGATGACTGATGTCCTAGGTTATCTATGAAACATGCACAGATTTCTCAAGTTATTTCTCAAATCTGTTGCTCCAACAAGGCCTTGAGAGCAGACCTTTGAGCAGCTGCCAGGCTTTGAGGCCATCCAAGAGACTAAAGTTAGCCTGAGATAGGTAGTTAGCTTTAGAACCTGTGACATTCCAACTTCTAGTCAACCAGCTTGCAGACACAGCTGTTTTCTGGGAGTTCTCATTGACACCCTGGAAGAGGAAGTCACTTCCCCGTCAGGTTCTGGCTTTAGGTTAGGCTGTCGTCTTCTGGGCCGTGGGTGGTCTATAGATAATTGGTCCTTCAGGAGGCTCTGAAGTGGATTCAACAACACGCTAGTAACTAAATCCAGAAGTTCCTTGTGTACTCCAAACTGCAAAACCCAGCTGTGCACCGCAACCCCTCCCTCTCTCTCTGCCCCTTGTGTTAGTAGCAGATCAGAGATTGTGCCTTGGGAGCAATGGGTGCTGAAGATGCCCGATAGCAGGGTGCATGGCAAACACACGGTGGCTCTACTCTGCAGATGAACGAGGATCCCGTACCTTGGGAAGTTCAAATCCGGAGCTTTCAAAGTGAGCTCAGAGTTCAAAAACTTTAGGAAAAAATAAAACCCCAAACTGCCCGCCCCAGGTTTTCATTCACTCATAGCGGGACAGTTCGTGCCTAGGATGGGGTAGATTCCCCTGGAAACCTCAGCTTTACTGCCCTGCGAAAGCTCCGGCAGGAACCCTGGGAAGGGTTAACGCTGAGTCTGGGTGTCTGGTGTGGTCGCCGTTTACCCGCCCAGTGGCTCTCAACTGTGACCCTTTAATACAGTTCCTCCTGTTGTGGTGACCTCCAATCATAAGATGGTTTTGTTGCTACTTCGTGAGTGTAATTTTGCTACTGTTACAAGTCATAAATATCTGTGTTTCCCAGTGGTTTTGGTGACCTCTGTGAAATGGTTGTTTGACCCCAAAGGGGTCATGACTCACAGGTTAAGAACCACTGGTTTAGAATATGAGGGGTTATAACATCACAGCCATATTTAGTTGAAGTAAGCAAAATTTCAAGCCGTAAATCACTTGTCTTAGACAGAGCTATAGTCCCTGAACTCAGTACCTGGTACTGACCAATGTAATAAGAGAATTCAATGATACATTAAAAAAAAAAGTTCTGTTTTCTACTTCCGAGAGATGCGTTTGTTCTGGAACTCACAACCTGAATCCGTGTTGGGACTCCTTAAGTATAGCTCAGTTTTGACTGCAAGCATGTGGACAGACAGACCCACCATTGTTATGATGCCTTGATTTACACTTCTGTCCCAACAGGACAGTTCTGAGGGCTGAGGGGGGCCTGAGCTAGTGCTCTCCGGGCTTGAAGCCCATTTCCCTAGCACAGATGTCATCAGGCCAGGGCCACCGGGATGTGGTCTAAAAAAGTGGCTGCTGGGGATTCACTGGTCTCTTAAGTGGGTTTAAACAACACCAAGTCTCCTGAAGAGAAACCGCTTCTACCCAAGGCTGGAATCTCCACTGTTCACTCCTTGACTAAGTATAAAATTTGGTGCCCCTGCTGGCCTGCGTTTCTCAAAAGCTACAACCTTAAGAGGACTCTTCATTGGAACCCAGTTGCCTTGGAAACTGAATAATCAGTACATATTCTTCCCATTTATATTTAAACGTCTTAGAAGCTATCTCTTTCACTAAGGACTGCAGCTGCAGCATCTAAACTTCTTACCCCCGCCCCCCCCCCCCCCCCCACAGAGCTTGCTGTTAGGGTGTTGTGAGCCTTGCACAGCTGTGGGAGCTGGAGAGGACTCCCACAGCCCCACTGGTCACATCTTGAGTCACACTGCACACTATTCAAAGGCCTCCTGAGTCCATGGGGTTGGAGACAGAGGAGGGTTTCTGCTGTTTAAAGACCATAGGTAATCGATTCCCCAAAGAAGAAAATGGCCGTCAGAAGTCGCGCCAAGGCTGATAAGATGACATTCCCTGCTGACTTTCCTTCTTGCAGTCACATAGAGTGTCTTCTGCAGAGTGCTGGGCATTCCTGGTGCCACATTCTGGTAATACCACTTTTTCTGTTATGGCTGCTGTTAGCATCTGCACATTGGCTTGTTTTCAACATAGGTGGCACAGTGCTGTGATCATTGTGAGTGTGTCACTTCAGACTCTTAGCATCGGGTCAATATGATGGAATCCCCGAAGGACTCTCTTGTGGGTGACGACCACGTTTCTGCTGAGGTTCCAGTGGCTTTGGCTTGAAAGTCCCTAACTGGTCCTTTCTAAGGCCCAAGGAAGGCAGGAAGCGATTGCCACAGGAAATCACATTTGCTGGCTAAAACGCTACACCTTGGCAGCCTTCCAGATTGAAAATGCTTACCTAGACCAGCTTCATTATCAAAGCATCTCATCACGCCTTCTCTAAGCTTGGACAGCACATGGTGGTTCACAGATCATACAGATCATAAACACACTATGTTTCACTTTGCAAATTCTGTTTCTCACCCCTTCTTTCTACAATGCCTCTTAAATGTCCTTCCTATTCCTGCCCTGGGGTTAAAATTAGACAAAGGAAATGATGTTAAAAGGAACCAAATTAAACCCGATTGCTGACGAGGAGGTGCCAAGTGGCGGACTACAGAATTAGGCAGATAGACATTCAGTAGCAGTTTAAGGAAATAATTTCCCCATTCATTTTTGTGGAGAGAAGTGTTCCTCTCATCAGCACAGCATGGCCTATACTGCTTCTGGGGGAGGAACGTGATTTCAAGAAGAGTGACTGAGAAGAAATGAGGGCTAGCAGGTTTCTTCCCTAATTTCTCAGTTATCCAAGGAGCTCACCTTTCCAGGGCTGGAGTGAGGAGTGACATTAAGGAGAAGCTTATCAGGAGACTGGGGACGGAGGGGAGAAAATTATGTGGAATCAACCAATCTCGAAGTTTGAGGGAAACAGCAGGGTACCCTCAGGAGGGGTAGACCCCCAAGTAAAAAAAAAAGCCCCGAACTTGCTTTCCCATCTTTTTTATTTTTTCTTTAATTTAGAGTTGATGTATCGAAAAGTTACTTTTTATATTAATGTATTTTTTTTTTACATTTCAATCTCGGTTCCCCCACCACCACCACCACACACACACCACCTCCCGCCTGCTCCTTGGAGAGGGTGAGGCCTCCCCTAGGAAGTCTACTAAGTTAGTCCCATCATCTCCCTGAGGCAGGACCTATTGCCTTCCCATCTTTACAGTACTTCTAAAAGGGACGTAGGTCCAGGTTTAAAACCAAAGTACTCGCTTCTGAGAGATCTCCTCCATCTCCCTCATCTCTGGTACCAATGCTGCTCTTAGGGTCTAAATGAAAAGATCAGGGAGGGTTTCAGAGCCGAGCAGAGCGCGTTCCTTCTTCATTCAAGCACAGTCATCTTTTCTGCGCCTACTGCCTTAAGTCTGCTTTTAATTGTTCTTAGAAAGTCAGCGCTTCCCTGAATAGTTAATTTCCTTTCTGAACACCGAGACCCGGAACGGTTTTCTAGTTGCTATCTCAATATCAGGTTTTAGATATGCTATTCACCGTGAGAAAGGAAATGCTTTGTGATACAAACATGTAGAAGGGTTCGTTTGCCTTGCTTTAAAAGGCAGCTTTACGTGTAGGATACAGGGTTGCCCATTAGTGCCTTTGACAGAAAGTTTTCTGTGGAAGGTCACTGCTGTAAAACATGCTTTGGCCTTGTTGGAGCCTTTTGTCTGGTGTTTACGGGCTCTCAGTACTTGAGGGGTGTCTTTCAGGGAGCAGCGGTGGAAAGCTAACTCTGCCAAGACTTACCTTCCACAGCCTTCCTCGAGTGCAGAAGTCTGCTCAGAATGCTGCTGTTTCAGCTACAAGAGGAGCGTGTGGGAGTCGAGCTCAGCGTGGAACCATGCGCACGGAGCTGACAGTTTTGCAGGGACGAGGAGTGGAGCACGTATGGAGCACGTAGCTGCTCTGATAAGGAGGGGGAAGCCGGCCTGCCGAAGCGCTCAGCAGATTGTGTTCCTCAGGGTCCGGGAGGGCAGGCAGCTGTGGCATGCCGGAAACAGAGTCGCTGTGGAGTACGTGCTCAGGAACTAAAGGAATGACACGGATTTAGGCAATGGCGCGGGCTTACATCCAAACCCCATTAAAAGGACTGCGAGGACTATAAATGCATGGTTCTGGCCTTAAGAGACACCGGGGTCTGGAGCCTGGACTTGATGCTTGACAGCTGTACAGCTAAGAAAAAGCGAATTTCTCTTGGACATGGTTTCCTTACGTGTTCTTTATCTGTGCTGGCGACAGGGCAGGTGATACGTCTGTGGCATGTGTGGGTGTTACTACTCTGACTTGTCTGGGTGCCTGCATCCATCCAACACATTCATCTTCTGGGTTGTCGTATTCTATGTTAATGTGGGTGGGGGCATGCCTCTCCAGCGCTTGCCTGAGTGTGTCACGCTAGGTAAGTAAATACATTCTTCTGTGGTTTGACTAGACGTGACTGGAAATGTGGCTGCTACTTTGTTTACGTCTCAGCGACACAGGTAGCTTCAGACTGAATGCTGCATCGGAGTTTTGGGGGACTGCCCAACTCAGGCTGCGTTAGCTGTGTGCCAACACCCGGCCCCTTCCTCTTCTGGACGTCGCTTGGCTCTCTCTGCAATACACAGAGCAGTTCAGCTTTCCTCAGGCTCCGACGCTGGCGTTGGCTTCAGATCCTCAGTCATAAATCCACCCAGGGCCTAGAGGATTGGCATTCCCTCCTTGGAGTGCAGGCCCAATCTAGAAGATAACTCATTCACTCACACAGAAAAACTCTGTCATACCTCAGGAAAAGCCACACACGCTTTGGGCTCCAAAGATACCTTAGAGACTGCTTCTCAGACTGTGGGGTGTGACCTCTAAGAGGTCACATTTCATGTATCCCGCATCTCAGATACTTACATTATGATTCATAACAGTAGCAAAATTACGGTTATGAAGTAGCAATGAAAAGAGTTTTATGTTTGGGGGTCAGCATGACACGAGGAACTGTATTAAAGGGCAACGGCGTTGGGGAGGCTGAGAACCACTGTCGTAGAGAAAGAGACAGAAACTTCTGCCTTTGCCTAGCTTATGTTGTAACTGGGATAGATGAGCTAACAGAAGCATAAAACATGCACACACCGAATGATGAAAGTGACGTAAGAAGAATAAGCATGCGGCTGCATTAATGAAGACTGGGAACATGATGTAATTTCTCGGTGTCACTGGCTACGTCTCAAGCGCTCACTGGGCTTGGGTTGCCACGCTGAGAACACTCTCACTGCTGCTGCAAGGTCTGTTGGCAGCAGTGACCAGGGTGTGTAGCACTGATGAATCAAGGGAAATGTGGTTGTGTGTAGAATAGGGGTGTGCTGGGGCTTTGCCACTTTGGAATCTCAGGGCAAGCCTCAAAACTTGGGACAACAGGAGGTGTCAGCTGGACGCTAGAGTGTCCCCAGAACTTGAGATATGGACTACATAGAGAGTTCCAAGATAGCTTTGGTTATAGGGTGAGACCTTGTCTTAAAACAAAACAGAGGAAGGGAAGGAGAAGGCAGAGAGGGAGACAACAGACAGATAGACAGACACAGGAGAGAGAGAGACAGAGACAGAGTCAACAATGACGCATGCTGGACTTGAAACTAGTACTAAAATTATCCATTTGGCCAGGTTGTTTCTGCCTCTGAGCCTATATAGGAGAACCCCACGATTCATCAAGAATCTAGGTTCTTTAAGTGGGTTCCTAGGAGTGGAGAATACTGTGGAGGAATATCAAGTAGAGACCTCCAGGTAGCCCCTTATAGAGATGGGCTTGTCTAGGGGAGGAGACATTTTTCTCTTTGTTAGACTTGGGTGAGCTACTTGAACTTGAGTGAACCTTCTGCTCTTTGAGTGGTACTTGGGTGAGGTTGAAGTGTGTGTGTGTGTGTGTGTGTGAAAGAGAGAGAGAGAGAGAGCATGTGTGTATGTGCATATGAAAGTATGGGTGTATATATGTGTGCATGTGTGTACTAGCTGGTGTGTATTTCTCTGTGTGTTGTATATGTGTACACACGCTCAAGCGTGCATAAAAAAAGACCAGAGGAGGACACAGAGTGTCATCCTCTCTTGTGTTGAGGCTAAGGGCGGATGTAGGATGTCTTCCTCTATGGCTTTCCACCTCTATGGTTTGAGACAGGGTCTCTTGGTGACCTGGAAACTCAGGGTTTCAGATTGGCTGTCCGGCAAACAAGCTTTCTAGCTCTGCCTGTCTCTACCCTTCCTCGTCCTATAGGCATGCAGAGTTATGCCTTTTTTTTTTCTTTATGTGAATGCTTGGGATTTGAACTCGGACCCTTATGCGTGCACAGCAAGCACTTGTACCTGCCGAACAATTTCCCTAGTTCCTCTGAAATGTACTTTGGGAAGCAGGTCTCCTCCAAGGCAGAAACCCTGTGTCTCCTTGAAGAAACGCAATGTCAGAGAGGCTGGCAGAGCTGCCTGTGAGAGCAGGAGAAGCAGCTACCTTGTCAAGCATCGCACTCTGGAGGAGCCCATACATGGGTGAACTGTAAGTGTGCCTTAGAGGTAAGCCAGTCTAAAGCCATATACAGCACCTGCCTTCACGGCAAGGGACAAAGTCTGTGTTTGTACAGGGATGAGCCTGGGTGGAGTAGCCCTTGCCCGATGACGGTTACAAGATGCCTCTCCATGCTGCGGCAGAGGGTGTCGTTTGACGGCTCGCCTCAATGGGAGGTATCAACAGCTCAAAATACCATGAGGCCAGTGAAGGGGGACTGTGGTGCTGGGACAGAAAGACATGACCGTGTGCCGTTCTGGGGCTGACCCCAGGTTCCCGAGACGGAACAGAAGTGCACGAGATTCACAAAGTGAGGCAAACCGAGGGGTGGGCTGCGTTGCTGGGCTCCAGCTATGGGGTGTAGCTCAGGATTTCCAAAGGCAGCTGGAATGCTGAGCTTCCGTGGGACGTGGCCCGGTTTCCAAAACCAGTATTTTAAACATTGTGTTGTGTTTTTAACTAGGTGAAAGTAAAACTATCCTTATTAAAATCTGCTGCTGGAGTTTGGAGACTTGATGAAGTCATACCTCCCAAGAGGCAGGAAGGGGCTGTCTACAAAAACATGCCCTCATTGTATCTTCTGCCTCTGGTTGATCCTGCCCCCCAGGTATGTAGCTTAAGCAAAAGTTGCTTTCAGTGCCTGTGCGTAGTGTTAGTCTGAACCATTGCTAGTGAAGTTGCAGTCCGTTTCCTCCTGCTTGATCCTCCTCACGTGAAGCTGCTCTGTCCTTTTCCTCCCTGCCTCCCTTCTTCCCACTGTCCTCCCTTTGTCCTTTCTTGAAGCACGGTGGACGGAACTCTGGGTTTCGCTTGCTCATCAAGCACTCTACTGAACTTTACCCCCAGTCTTCTGTCTCGTTTGTATTTTGAGATAATGTCTCACTAAGTGGACTGGATTGGGACCTTGAACTCACTCTGCAGCCCAGGCAGCCTTCGAATTTGTGATCCTCCAGCCTCAGTATCTTAAGTAGCTGGAGCGGTAAGCTGCACCTCCAGACTGATCATGGGGCAGGTCTGTTAAACTCAGAGGCTCGTTTCCATTTTCTTTATCACGTGCTGGGATAGTGTAGATTCCTTTACCCCCTACAGGGTGGCATGTAGCCAAGGCTGGCCTGGTCTTCTTGCCTGCACCTCCCCCGGCATGATGTTTTAGAGTCTCTAGAGGCGAGGCGATGGTACCATCCCCTCCCCCACGTCCTGGAGATCTCAGCCGCCTTTGATCAGTAGGGTGCAGTTCTATGGAAGCGATGCACACAAGACTACTTGTACTTTTGTTCAGCTCCGGAATGGTTGTTCTTGGAACTTGAGTCATGATGAGCAAGCAGGGATGTTCTGAGGTCAGCATGCTGTGAGAAAGTCATGTGGAAGGGCCGTGTGTAAGCACCTCACCCACTAGCAACACCAGCTGAGCCTGGCTTCAAACTCAGAGGCTTATGTTTGAGCAAAAGCCTCCAGATAATCTTAACCCCGGTCACCATGCCAGGTTAGCCTCCCCAGCTGATGCTTCAGGCACATGGGACAGAGTCCAGTCACGTACACAGGAGTCCACGAGCAGTAACAGTTGACCTTGTTGTTATAGGACCATGCCTCAGGAGTGATTTGACGCACAGTAGTTGTCTGAGATGCTAAGACATCTAAACTTTGGACGTCGGTTGCCTTTTCTGTCTTTCCACTTAGATGTGTAATAATCACGTTACTTAAGATAGCCTAGACAGATGTTTTGAATGATTCCCTGATGTAACTCCTGCATTTCTTTGAGTCATTTCCATCTTAGCAAATTGCAACACCACTCATTCATTCCTTTCCTGACTCAAAGCCTCGGAGTCATCTCGTGCATCAATTCCTCTCTCGTCTCCAACATACTGCTACTACCAAACAGCTTTCATCTGCCTATGTGCTCCCTGCACGATGCCAAGATCCCCCTCTGAGCTTTTCTGCATCTCCCCATTGAGCCCTGAGAACTTTCTAGTTGGACTCCTTGTTTCCCTCTACACTCTGTTCCCCACAAGGGGCTTCAGAGGGCGAGGGGAGTTGGTGAAAGAAGGAAGCAGAGATTGACCTTCACGTTTAGGCACAAGGAGGGATTCAAGCAAATGAGATTCAAAGAGATGAGCAGAAAGTTGGGATCGGTTTTCAGAGCCTCGGCAAAGGCGTATGTGGATGCTGAGAGAGACAGGACAGTTTCACCGAGCGTGGGGATGTTGGTGTGGTTGCAGGCTGTGCATTCGGATGGAGAGGATGGCTTCAGGATGAAGGACGAATTAACTGAGGAGGGGCACCACTGTCCAGTCGGTTTTAGGTATTGTGTAGATTCTGGAATCTCTTTAATTACAAGGGGAAACTGTGTGACACAACCAGCTTTGCGTTTCTGAGCATTTCTTTGGCTTGTACGATGATGGAACTGAGGGGAGCCTCAAGAGGCTTTGGCTCTGGTCAAAGCTGTGGCGGGTTGGAGTCGAGATACGCCTGCAAAGGTGGCTAGATTCACGAAAGGTGGTCAAGTGACTCATCGCAGGTATGGAGAGAAGACGGATAAAGGAAAAGGATAGAGTCAATGGGCAAGCACCATCAGAGGATGTCGCTAGTGAGTGAGATGACGAGACAGTGACTCCCAAGGGTAAAGGATCGAGGAGCTCTACCAGAACCTAGTGATGCGCGTGCAAGCTGCTGAGTTGTGGGAGTTGGTGGGATGGACTCCACTGCAGGATCCCAGGGCAAAGCAAGTGAAATACGGACAGGATTAGCTGAGATCCCAGCACAGTTCCTTCTGCGGGGCTGATCTGGATAGCACGTGTCCAAGCTGCAGCCAAGCTATTACAGCAGAGACACTGTGTAGTGTGTGCGTGCGTAAGTGCGTGCGTGTGTGTGTGTGTGTGTGTGTGTGTGTGTGTGTGTGTGCCCGCCATTCTAGCCACCTTTTGAAGATTCAGAGCTGAACTCTGCTTGGGACTCCAAGATTTCTGTCACACACTGCAGTTCTTTTGTTTGAGGGGTCAACATGTTTAAGTCATAGCTGGTAAAGAGCACAGTGGCCCTTTTGTGAGCTCTCTGTGCCCCCTTTATGTGGCTGCATGAGGCAAACTGCTTTGCAGTGGGAGGAGAGAGTCCAGAAGGGCGAAGAGAGAGGAACTGCAGCCCTGCTCACTGGGACCGTTAGTACAGCGTATCCTCCTTTGTCCTCCTGCTTGGGAGGACAGTCGCTCCATGGTTATGCCTAGCTCCGTGGAATGTTGAAGAACAATGTGCTCTAATGTTCTTTTTGGCTTCAATTCTGCTCTCCAAATCCTCAGGACTGGTTTATCTTTAATTTTTCAGAGCAGGGATTGGACCCAGGCCTTGGGCATAGCAGGAAAGTGCTCTACCACTGACAACATACCGGCCCTCCTTCTCTTCCTTGATTTTGAGAAGGAACATTGCTCAGGTTGGCTTTGAACTCACCTCTAGCTCATCCAGGCATTAAACTTACTATCTTCCTGCATCAGACTCCTGAGTGTTAGGATTATGGACCTGTCACACCAGACTTAGTTTTCTCTTCACTGTTTTTTTTAAGTAAGCATACAAACTGATTATTTCCTCATGACATTTTATGATATAAATATAATTATATATGTTTTTCTTTCACAACTCCATCTCCAATACACTCACTCTTGCTGGTCTCCTTGACCCCTACAAACAGTCTGCTTCCGTGTCACATTTATTCAGTGTCTTCTCACCACCTCCTTGAGATCTTCTCCTCCCCATGCATAGCCCTCTTCAGACTTTTATCACACCCATGCGCACCCTGACTCACATTTGCACACCCCCACACATGATTTAAGTCTAGACTCTGCACATGAGAGAAAACACACAGGCTGTGTCTTTCCGTGCCCGGCATATTGCATGTAACACGATTTCCAGTTCTGCCTGTTCTCTTGCCAGGACCATGATTTCACTTTTCCTTGCAGTTGAATACAGTTCCATTGCGTATGTGTCCACGTTTCTCTTTACCCATTGTCTGCTGACGGATGTGGAAGCTGCTAGCGTTCCTTCCCTACTGGGAATACTACAGCAGTAGGCACGGGCGTGCAAGCATCTTTGACATACACTCTTCAGCTAGGTTCTCAGGAGTGGTAGAGCTGGGCAGTAGTACCTCCACCTTGAGTGTTTTGAGGGACCCTCAGCATTGAATTCCTCAGTGCGGTTTATACCACCACCGGCGGTAAGGAAGGGTCACTCTTCCTCCACCTAATCACTGGTATTTGTTGCCATCTTTTTTCTTGATGACAGCAATTCACGATGAATAATCAGAACACGATTATCGTGCATTTTCCTGATGGCTAATGATTATGCATATATTTTCCATTTTTAAAGTATCTGTTGTCTGTATTTCTTTTTTGGAGAACTTTCTATTTGGTTCATTAACTCATTGGCCATTGGATGGGGTTTTGTACATTAACTTTCTGTAGCTCTCCCCCTCTGTCTGTCTGAATTCATGTGTGAACATGTATGACTATGTGGGGAGGTATGAATGTGTGTTCATGTGTGCCTGGAGGCCGGGAGTTGACCCCGGGTGTCTTCCTCAACTGCTCTCCACATTGTTTTTGGAGAAAGTCTCACTGGGTCCGGAGCCTATCAATTTGGCTAGAGTGTCTGGCCAGCAAGCTATGGGGATCCTCCTGTCTTTTCCTCCCCAGTGCTGGGACTACAAGATGCGGCAGTCGTTTGCTTTTACATGGGTGCTAGGGATCGGAACTCAGATCACCGGGCTTACACGGAGAGCGCTGACTGACTGAGCCACCCCCATGTCCTGGCAGTTCTGCATACATCTCAGACATGAATATCTTGTCTTATGTAGTTTGAAAAGACTATTTCCTGTCTGTGGACTGTGTTGAGTTCCAGTGACTATTCCCCCTCCCCATCATGTAGAGCTTTTCCGATTCAGTCAATCCCGTCTATCAATTCTAGTGGAAACCAGGAAGGCAGTAGTACTGAGGGTAATGCAGAAAGCAGAGGCTAGGCTCTGGAGGTTTCCGAGGGGAAGGCGGACTCTGTTGATGATGGTGCTGGAGGCCATTTGCGTGATATTTTCACAAACAACCTAGATGTGTTCTGCCCATGTCCTGAGAACCTGCCTGAGGCTCCTTTAAAGCGCTGGATTGACTTCTTTGGCAGAGGAAATCCCCGAACATCACGTCTCTGGCACTGTTTCAGGAGGCTGCAGTCTTTAGGAGGTGGAGCCTGGCTGGAGGAAGTATATCATTGGGGGCGGGTTGTGAGGCTGATAACTCCACCCCACTTCCTATCCTGGCTCTGCTTCCAGCATGCACATAAAAATGTAACCAGTGAGCTCTGTTTTCCCACTGGAGTGCCATGCCATCCCTGCCGTTATAGACTCTAACCCCCTGGAACTGTAACCCGAATGTTTCCTAAAAGCAACCCTTCTCTGGGCTGCTTCGGTTACGATATTTTATCACAGCCACAGAAAAGTGAACCAACACAACCACCATCACCCCTGACCCTGCGATCATAATCCTTGGGAGTTGTATGTTGAGGAGTAATCAGCGAATATGCCTTTTTATCAAGACTTTCGCTATAGCATCACTCTTCATAGCACATGGCCGTGAATAAACTTCTAACGCATCAATATACGCCTACTCAGTGCAACGCTTGGTTGAGAGCTCATCTTGTACTAGACGCGGTATTCAGCTCTTACTTGTTTGTTTGTTTTCAATCAATCTCCGCAATAACATTAAAAGCCAGCACCCCTCTTGAAGAGTCTTATGCAGCCAATAAAATGTTTATGACAAACACAAAATAGCACTAAAATGCTCATGATAAGTGAGCATGATAAATGCTAAACGATGCTTATGTATCCATGGTGGTTGATAACCGGGTACATTCAAAGTGATCTAGGAATCAAAGCGTTGAAATGAAGTCCACAAAAAGCGAAGCGATTTGTTAAAATTTGTTCTGAGTGCTTGTGACTCTTGAGACATCATAATAAAAGTATTCATGCAGTTTTTTTTTAATGAGAAAGTGCTATAGGTGCATCTGCCTGTATCTAAAGCAAGCTTCGTTTCTCTAAGCTAGAAGCTGGTACATTGGCAGTGGCCTCCAAGGCCACATGCTTCCTGCCTGTCCCTCAGGCCTGTGCCCCTAGGGACTCCAGGCTCTTCCCTCTTTGGGACATTGGCCAGTGGCCTTCCTCTTTCCCTGCGGGTTCCAGGTGACTTCTCCGGGTTGTCGCTTTCTGACTCCCTGTTAGTTAGGGCTCTATCCTGCGCTCACTACGCCGCCCTGTTTCCAGCCCCACACACTTCTTCACGGACCCTTTCCATGGCACCTGCCGCCACTCCGCATGCTGTAGAATTGGGGTGCTTTGTTTTGTATAGTTCGCACTATGTGTTATCTGTCTCACCCCATTAAAAGATGAGCATCCCAGAGGCAAGAGGATTTACCGTTTCATTTGCGTTACATCTCAGATTCCAGGAACTCAAGAAGATCTCAAACAGTGCAGCGAATGTCTGTCCCAGTTAGGGTTTCCATGGCTGCGATGAGACACTGTGGCGGAAAGCAACTTGGGCAGGAAAGGGTTTATTTGGCTTACGCTTCCACATCACTGTTCATCTGAATAAGTTGGGACGGGAACTCAAAACAGGCAGGAACCTGGAGGCAGGAGCGGATGCAGAGGTCATGGAGGGGAGCTGCTCACTGGCTTGCTCCTCCTGACATCCGTGGGCTGCATGGCCCCCAATCACTAAAAATACCCTAAATCGGATTTTGTGGTGGCATTTCTCAATTGAGGTTCCCTCCTCTCTGATGGGTCTAGCTTGTGTCAAGTTGACACAAAACTAGGTAGCACAATGTTTCTGATAGTATTGTCCTAGAGTAAGAAAAACATTGAAGAAAATGAGAAAAAAAATCCCTGGCGTGAATTCTGAGAAAACACAAGGAGAGTTTACTTGGACAATGAGTCCAGCAGGTCTTGTGCCATCCGAGTTATCAGTATTATGGTCCTTTTGCAGCTGCCCCAACTGGCCATCGGCTAAGACTTAATACGATATTGCTTGGTTCATCTGTTTCATTTCACTTGTAAGCAGCATCTTACACCGATTTTAACATGGTTAAAGGAACACAGTTGTGAACCTGGGATTGTGTGTGTGTGTGTGTGTATGTGTGTGTGTGTGTGTGTGTGTTATCGTCATCTTCATTGGCAGGAGCATCCTGTACTGTGGTCTTGTCGATCGATAACTGTGGCTTCCGGAACAGAAGGTGCAGTCTTTTCTTTATGACTGTAGGTGGCAGCACACCACTACCTAT